TTTCAGGTTATTTCATATCAGTTGAGATTTGGCAGTTTGTAATTTTGTAGAGACAGGTCTATTTTATTTAAGTTGTGGAATTTATTTGTGTAGAGTTTGTAGAATTGCTCTATAATGACTTTAATGTCTTTGTGATCAATAATCATGTCCCTTTTTCTAGTCCTGTTGTTAGTGCTGTGCATTTTTTTCCTTCCCTCATCTGGCTGGAAGTGTATCAGTATTATTTTTCTCTGCAAAAAATTCATATTTAATTTTCATTATTATTCTATTTTAAAATCAGCTGTTTATCAATGCATAATTTCCCCTTTCATTTTGTGGTTCATTTGTTCTCCTCTTTTTCTGTTTTCCTAAGGTGGAAATTTAGATTATTGATTTGAGATCATTATTCTTTTCAAATATAAGCCTTTAATGCAATGAATTATCCTCTCAGAACACATTTGTTGTGTTATATGTTCATTTTTAGCCCATTCAAGTTTTTGTGCAATTTTCCTTGAAACTTTCTTTTGGATCCATGGGTTATTTAGCTTTAATCTTGAAGTGTTGGGAGATTTTTCCTTTTATCTTACTGTTTTTTATGTTTACCTCAACCCTGTGATTAGAAAACATACTCTCGAGTACTTTAAATTTGTAATGGTTTGATTTGTGGTACATGATATGACCTATCTTGATGAATGCTTTCTCTGTACTTAAAAAGAATATGCTGTTATTCACTTTTTGGAGTTCTCTAAAAGTTGTTCCCTACTGTATGCTCATGTTTTATAGATGTGTTCACATCTAAGAAAGATAGGGTGGAATAGGCTTCTTTCATATTTCCCGGTATTAGAACCTTCCAGAAGTGTCACTTTGTCAGAATTCTTGTTTACTGATAAATGCTGGGTTCTGACATAGTCTGCATATGCACCCTCTGATGGTTCAAAAACTGTAAACTAGATGAAAACTGAGGTGAATATCTTCCTAATTTCTTACTAAGGGTTACCTAGTTTTTGAGAACTCTAAAAAGCAAATAATAGCGAATTCCGTTCTGTAAAATGGGTAATTACTAGATTGGCCTGTGTCCTGCAAATGTTTGTTGTATTTTAGGTAGACATTAATGTAAAACCTACTAAAATTTTCAGTAATTTAGAGAAGAGAAGTGGAAAAATATGAATGAGATCAGGATAGACAATGTAAAGGCATGGTTTGATAGCAAGGTAAGGTTTTCCCCATATGTGGATGGCCATGTAAAGTTTGCTCCTTACTGTTAATGGCCCTTTTCAGATCCTAGCAAAGGGCATCTGTCAACCGTGGCAACATGAAACAAATGATAGATGCTTCATGCTTACAGGAGAATTACAGTGGACAAAATGAGGTTCCTGGCACTGACAAGCATCAGGCTGAAGGTCCCAGCCCCAGCTAGCCTGGTGAAGTTAAAGAAGTATATATTATATGACTATGGAGTTATATAGGGGAACAGGGAATCAAAAGGAATCCAGTCCTGTGGTTTGGTGAAATGGCTCTGTGCAGAAGTAAGGTTGAGCAAATGGTGATCCAGAAAAAATACCAGCTTTGGGGCAGCAAACTAATGTCACCTTGTCACTTGCTGGCTTGATGAGAGAGTTCAGTAGTCAGGGTAACTCAGAGGTAAGGACATCTTTAAGTTTATTAAGTGTAGAGAATGCAGACAGCAGAAAGTTCCATGTACAGGGATAGATGTTAACACACATGTTAACAAGCCTCATTAATATTTTCTTTGATTACATAGAAGTGAGTGCATATTGAAACTTCTGGCTTGATGATACATGCATCCAAATGGACACAATGGGAAACACTGGTGTTAAATATGAAGAAATAACAGTACATAAGGGGATATGAAAATAATCATATGGTAAATAAAATGGATGACCCAGGAGAGGTTGACTTGGAATTTATTGTGTGTTAAATTCCAGTTGTCTGAAGCAAGGGCAACATTTGACCACCACAATAATCTAAAACTAAGTGGTAGTTCAGACACTGGACTCAGGCATTATTAGACAATTTCCTTTGCCTTCTGACAATTTCTTCATCTTTGATCCAGCACCCTCTCCCTCAAAAAAGGAACCAAAAGTGTATTACTGGTTATAGTGTTACAGTTCTAAGGTTGAATGCAAGAACCAGCATCCTCCCACAGGATTCAGTCCAGCCAACTTCCTCCTTCCAACCTTGGTATTTCTCAAAACCAGCCTGCACAACGGCATTTCTTTTCAGTCTGCTTTGTTTGAATTCATCACAGGGAAGGACTAACCCTGGACTTGTGATTGCTCAAAGGTTATCTTTAGATTAGCCTTACCTTGATAACCTGATGTTGCTGCTGCTTCCTCTGGCATGATCCAGTTACTCTTGGGAATATCAATTAAGGTCCTCAGTCACACTAATTAGAATGTCTTCTAAATGTTGCTTTAGGAATTCAGCAGCTTATAAACAGGGAAATTAGGAAAATCTAGAATTCTGGGTGTTTTCTTTTCTTTTTTTATAGCTGCAAGCAATTTGGGAGGCCTGAATGCAGTAGGATAGCTGAGTTGTGGGGGTGAAATTACTGTGCCCTGAATCTGCAATGATATATTTAGTTGGTGTTACTGACAAGGATTAATGCAGAATTATTAATTACTTTTATTAATGACTTCGATGAGGACATAGGTAGCATGCTGATCAAGTTTGTAGATGACACAACGCTAGGGGGATAGCAATTATTGCAGTGACAGACTCGGGATCCAAAATGATTCCAAGACAGAATTTAGTGGCGGTCCGTATACCACGCACCTCTCAGACTGACCTCCATAAAGTCCAATGTTATGATTATATCATTCCTATAAGCAGAAAATTTCAGTGATTCCCTATTTACTGTTTAAATTAAATCCCATCTTTAGCCTGATCTTCAGGGCCTTGCCATATTCTGATCCTAATGCTCTCTGCTTTCCAAAAAACATAATTTGTAGTTCTTTTCGTAATACACTGTAAATGAGCCAAATTGAATTATTTGTAGCCTATTTCCTACTTATGCTCCATGTTTTCATTACTTGTGAACATTATTCTCCACCAGAAGTTTCTTTTTCTCATATCATATGTGCTTTTCTCTGCCTCGATTCTAAGTGATCGAGCCAGAGCTTACACACAGGTAGAGAGCACCGCTGTGGTTACTCTTCTTTGCTGCCTTCACTGGAGTAATAGATTTCTTTTGCTAATCATCAATAACACTTATCTGTTTCCCTCTATTTTTCTCACTTTTTACTTTGTGCTGCAGTTACTTTTTATACACATTTTAAGTCCTTGCAGGACTCTCCCTAGTATTATGAGGCCTATCTGATAAATCTTTGTATTCCCTGAGAGTGTCTCATGCATATGTTTTACGCACAGTTGATGATATTGAAAGGCTTGTGTGGGGTTTATCAGTTGCAGCAGTGCCTTGAGAAAAGGCCCTCCATCTTTCCTGCCCTTCTGGTTATTTTATAGGAACTTGTGGAAAGAAAGTGCTCAATACATATTTTGTTTTTGGTTTTGTGGGGCTGGGGATCAAGCCCAAGGCTTTGGATGTGGCAGGGAAGCGTGCTACCCCTGAGCTATGGCCCCTTTCCAAGGCTCAACGTGTATTTTATGGAATAAATCGGGGAATGATGGAAAGCAGATTCCCACAAGGTAATGGTATGAAGATTGGAAAGGAGATGTTGTGGGGAAAAAAAGAGACACGTAGTCTCTGAGAGAATGTGGCTGCTCATGGTACAGTAAACTCACCTCCAGTCTCTGAACAGCTAAGGTAAAGAAGGAAGTATGATGTGAATCAGAAGTGTCTGGTGGAGTGAGTGATGAGACGGGTGACGGGCTGGAGACTTTCCTTGTCCTTTCACATGACCACACAGCCTGTTTGCCTGGTGCGTGCCAGTTTATACTTTTGGTTCCACGTCACATTCTTACAAGTGGCCCATTTTACCTGATATTATATGGGAACACTCTTTATCAAATACTTCTTTGGCCATGTTAGGCCAGTGCGTCAACTGTGGTTGTAAAATGTGACATAGCCCATTTGAGGCAGTTGAATGTTGCCATCCCCATTAAGCATAAATCTCATTTCTTGTCAGTTTCTAGAGATATGATCTGGAGAAGTTATCAAGACCACTGTAAGCACTGTTATATGAACAGTGTCTTCACAAAAGAAAGCAGAGGTCTTGGGCATATAGAATTTCTAAATCTTCCAGTGTCTGTGACTGTACAGAGGTTTGTACTGGTGGCCAACATGTCTAAGGCAGTAGGAAAAGAAAGACTTCGGCCAGTTGTTCAATCTCTCCGTCTTCTCCATTGAAGAGCACACAACCAGAGGTAAGGGCGTGTGTCCTGCTGGTTGGCTGTTTCTGCTGGCTCTCAGTAGGAAGGCTAAAGAGCGCAGAAACTGGACTCCTGCCTCCTCATGTGTCTCTTCCCGTGAGAAGAACAGGGCCTAAAGGGGATGAGTTGTATATCTGTCCCCTAATATAAATTCAGAGGGTGGTGGACGGCAGACTTAGTCTGAGTCCAGGGTTTCTAGGCTTTCTCATTCATCACTAACTAGAAAATGTACCTGGGACATAAACTTCTTCATAGAGGACAGATTAAAGGAATTTGAGGCAGGGGAAGCAGGTCAGATTTAACTGCCAAAAATGTGACTTTTCATTAGAAAACCCAGATGAGTTTTTTTTTTTTTTTTAATGTCAGAAGTTATTGTTCAGTAGTTAAGAAAGAGTTTTGGAGCCCGATAGCTCATGGCTCTACCACTTGATTATATTATTTCAACTGGTCTGAGTTTCCTTCTCTGTGTATAGTTTGAAGATTGGAAAGTAAATGGCAAAGCAAAGCATATCCCGTCTTATTGTTTGGTGTTGACAGGTAACCTTATTATTATTGTGAAAATATTGGAACAGTTCTTAGTTATAGTCAACATGCAAACACCAGGTCTTATTATCTAAGCGCTTGAAGGTAACAAGGACTCTCTCTTATCTTCATATTTATGTTGACAGGATGGGAATTCTATGGTGTGTCCTGAGTATCTACTTCTTTGGGATCCTGCAAAGTGATGCCTCGGGTAAGTGAATAGCTTTTCATAATCAATTACAATTTAAGTTATATACAGGGTTTGAGCTCTCTGTGAGAATGAATTTAAAAGAGCACCAATGCTGTTTATTTCCTGTGTCATTTGTGGTAGCAGGGAATCATAGAATAGTGGAGGAACCACTGCTGTTTTTCACCACAGGCCACAGTGTACTTGGTTTGTTGTGTGTCACTACTGGAAAGTTTCCTCACCTTAACACCCAAGTTAATTAGAGTACTGCTTTTTTCTTTACCCTAGGTTTTGTGACGAAATAAATGGTGACGAGGGTAGCACAATCTGTTTTCCAAACAGGAACCAGCAGTGAAGGCCACAGTGGCTACCAGTCCCGTGAGGCCTTAAAACAAAAGCGTGAGAGAGAGGAGGGAGGGAAAGGAATGAGGAGGGAAGTAGCTTCTATCACGCTCCTTCTGTGTAGACAAAAAGGGCTTGTCTGTAGGTTCAGGCTCATTTTTTCTTTGGATGTTGTTTCTCAAGAAGAGCCAAACAAGACCTTTCTTGAGTTTGAATAGCCAAACTCAGCCTTTATGTACTAAGATGTTCTGAAATCAGAGGTGAAAACCCACTTTCCTCCCCAGCTCCTGGCCTTATCTTCTCTCCTCTCTTTCCCTTCCTTTCCCTTCCTTTCTATTCTCCTTTCTTCCTTCTTTTCTTCTTTCCTTCCTCCCTTTCTTTCCCCATGTCTCCCACCCCTTCCTCTCTTTGAATAACCATCTCAGCCACTATGAACCCAGATCACAAGAAGTCAAGAGGCGAGAGCCCATTATTGTCTTTTACTTCTTTCCCCAGTTACTGCTCTAGTTCCTTTAATCAGGGATCCTGTTTTCAGCCTGTTTTATATTTGAATGGGTCAGATTTTCAGAAAGATTTTAGTACATAAAGCTGAAAAATGCCTCAAACTGCATGATCGAAACAGAACTTACCTCATGCAAAGCTCCTTTAATTTTAATATAGGAGACATAGGGATCCTCATTGTAAAAGGATCCCATGTATAATTCCCCTGAATACAATGGCCCATACTTTGAATATCATTCATTTCTATTACATGTGAGAGGACTTCAGAGCTGTTACATCAGTGATTATATAACTGTGTCCCCAGTTTCTCCAGTGTATTCTTCACATGGCATGGATTCCAGCCCTCCTACCATCCTGATCATCTTTGCTGGGTGCATTTCAGTTTTTCTGTCACTTAAAGCATTGTATTAGAAACCAAAAATAACTGTGACAGAGGGGTATAACTGGGACAGAGTGCAGCTCAAAGCTGACTAACGTCTAAACTTGTGGGCCTTTGAGACTTCACAGGGCAAAGTATGTATTGTAACAAGGGCTGATGCTCAGTAGGGGTACACTGGTACCCAGCTGGGGTACCCTAGAATACCAGCATCTGTCCTGCTTGGCTAGGTGTTGCATTTGATTGGTGATTGACTTGATATCCTGATTTTTATATATATTGAGTATAAGCCCTCATTATAATTTGTTCTTATTTGATTTAGTTTGATATTTGAACGTTGTCTGCTCACAGAGGCATTTCGTGGCTATTTTTAACTAAAATAGTCATGTCAATCACGCTATCCCTCTACTTTGCTTTAGGGTTCTTCTTACCACTTATTTCCTGACTCTTTTTCTTTTCTCTTCTCCTGTTTCTTCTTCCTTCTCTTTTTCTTCCCCAACCCCTGTCCTTCCCTTCCTCCTCTCCTGTCTTCCTTTCTTTCCTCCCTCTCTCCCCTCCTTCTTTGGTTTAGCTCATCATTCCCTCTGTCCCTGATTTTAAGCTACTCGAGTGGCTTAAAATTTATGTGTTTTGTCTGTTCTCCAAACATCCAGAAGAATAATCAACACACGGAGACAGAGTAGATGCTCAATGTTCAATGAATGAATAAATATTGCTTCACATCTCCTCTTTCTCCCCCCCAAACTAGCCAGTTGTATGACGGAAGTGTTTAAATCCTTATTAGTAATTCATCTTTGTGTTTTCATGTCCTCCTTCATTCACCCTGAAGGGAAGGGAGAGGTAACTATTTCTTTTGTTGAGAGATCAGGAATTCCCAGCAGTCAGCTAGATCTGGGGCCTGCCCAGGAGTCCTGGCAGTGCTGCTGGTCTGAATGACCTTTACTATATCCATCCAAGGGCGGCCCCCTGCCCAGTTCTCCAAGTGCTGTTGGTAAGTGAGCTTTCTACCCAGGAACTGTGACTCATACTTCTGCCAGGGAAGCCCCCGTCTTGAATAAGATGAGTTCTCATACCAGCCCTATTGGGTCACCACGGAGCAGGAAACATGTTGTAATGCCCAGGCCCATCTGGAGCATACTCATTTGCCTTCCTCATGAAGAGGTATATTGTGTTCATGTCAGGGCTGGACTTCCTCGCTGGAGGGAGAGGAACAAAAAGGAAGCGTTGTGGACAAAAATAAAAGGGGCAATCGGCCCTTGGGAAAAAAGGGATCATTGCGCATTTTGAGGGAAAACCCAACCTTTCTGTGCGCGAAGGTGTCGCCTCCTGCAGGGGTGGAGATGCAGGCAGAGTTGGTGGCGCACGAGGCTCTCCCTGTGCTACAGGTTCCCATCTTAATAAAAGGGCGGATTTTGCGTTGTGCAGCGAAATTTAAGTGCAGCGAACTCACTTTCAGGCCACAGAATTCTGACCTCAGACCATGGTCATTCTGCAGTAGCAGAACTGCAATTTCTTTATCCCTTTAGGAATGGACAAGCAACATTTTCATTGCTGGTGTTCATAAACACACCCTTAAAAAAGCATTATTTTCGTTTAAGGAATTAAAGCTTGATAATTATAATAGTGATAATATGATTGTAACGTGATTATAATAGCAATAGTAAAGTTCCTTATTATTCTTAAAAGCAGTTTGCATTTTACATTTCCATTGCCAGTTGATTCTTATATGAAAATCATGGCGTAGACTGGGCTGTCATAGCTCCCATTTTTGAAAAGAAAAGAGGACCAAAGTGGTACATAAGTTAAAGAGCAAAAGAGAAGATAGAGAGTATGAAACAGGGAGAGACATCTTTTGCAAAATGGAAGGGGATCAGGAGATGAGGCAAGGCCGAGGAAGTTGGAAGGGAAAGAGGTGAACAGAAGAATTAAGACACATTATGTACAGGTGTCAATTTTGCCAGATGAAAGCCATCGTTATGCACGGCAGACATGTACTAATAAAATATATAATAAATACATTTTTAAAAACCCAAATGCTTCGTTGAATTACCCAAAGACACAAGCTACTGCTTAGCAAAATTGTGACTTCAACTAGTTCTTCATTTCCCAAGCCGCATGTTATTCCTGTTATTTTTCCTCAATGTTTTCCCCTTGGGCTGTAACAGAATGTAAAGAATTTGGAAGGATTATGGTTAAGGAATCATTGGTATTTTAAAAGAGTCCCAGGTAATCATTTTGCGCATTGCTGAAAAACTACTCAGTAACGGGGCTGGGGATTTAGCTCAGTGGTTCTGGTGCCTGCCTCGAAAGCGCAAGGTCCTGAGTTCGATCCCCAGTACCACAAAAAACAAAACAAAACAAAAAAAACTACTCAGTAACAGGTTTCCGTGATGTCCACACTGGAAGCATCTTCCCAACAGTTCTCTCCCTCAAGTCGGTTTCTTCAGGAAAAAAAAAAAATCACTGCTCTCCTAATTTAAATCCTCAGAATTCCCCTTTTTATTTGTAATGGTGTTCACTCTGTCTACTATTAAGCCAAAGAAAGTTTCCATTTGCAGGATTTCAAGAGGAAAACTTCAGCGCCTCACGCATGCCACTTTTGGCGAGCTTCCCATTGGCTGCATTTTGGGAAGTTAAACTGTTGAAGCTGCCTGCAGAGTAGATACCAATATCTGGAACCTGTGAATCCATGTTGGGAAGATGGTAAAAGTGTTACTGCATCCTGAGTGGTGGATTTGAGAAATGAAGAATCAGGGAGACAACATAAGTGCATGATGCTTGTGGTGACTGCCTCATAGGGTTAGGTTTTGGCTGCCTTCATTCCCAAAACACCTCTTTCCTTTACAGTATATTGGTTTCCGAGGACTTGGTTCAGCTCATGGAAGTAAAAATCTTCCGATTCCTCTTCCATTATGTTTTCTATGATGTTTATAGAGAGTGGAAATAATTTATTGGTATATTGGGCAGTGTATTACATAATGCAAAATACATAGGTAAAAATGCTGTGGTTCCCTAGAAGTTGAGAGACATTGGTTTAGGTTATATTTCATTCTGTGAGTTCCTTAGTGACTTTAAAGAAGTCATTTCATCAGTTTTTGTTACTGTGTTCTACCTGTAAACCAAAGGAAGCAACCACCTAACTAACAACAGAAGTAGGCCACAACCAATTTGGCTTTCTTGTTTTTATTAATATATCTCAGACATACACGGGGTAGATTTTTTTTCCCTAGTGCTTAATTAAATTGTTCATAATGACAATCTTTACAACAGTTTCACTTCATTCTAAATCTCATGTACTCGAGCATTTTATATTGTGGAATCCAGAAAGAAAAAGGGAAACTTCTTTTTTAAGGGTCCTTGAGAGGAAAGAGTAAACAAATATCTAATTGGATGTCATGAGAGAGCACAGAATTTACTAAACCTTTCAAAAGTTGTTGGAGGAACACTTCAGTCACAGAAAAAGTGTTCTTTCCTGGGAAGAAATACATCTCTTATGGGACAGCATAGTGCAGAGTAACTAGAAAAATACTGTGAAGGCATTTAAAGCCAATCTGGGAAGGCAAGTTAGGAAGGATTTGGGGGGACAAGAATCCTTTCAAGAATAGAACATTTTGTGTTTAATGCATTTACATGTAATTGGCTAGTGTAGTGTGATGCTTTTTTTTAAAAAAAAATCTTATTTCTACAAGGACATATGATATTTTTAATGTTATGTAGTGGTTCTCTCAGCTTCTAGTAAGAAAAGTTCACTTTTTTGCCAGCTTCAATAATGGCCTCATATTTATTTATTTATCTATTTAGTACT